GACTAAAGTAGCATTTCCGTCAATCCTGAGTCTCCCTATGAAAACAGGAGGTAAATCTGGGTGTTCTTGGACAACGCCATTCAGTTTAACCATCATTCGTTTAAATTCTTTTCCTCGAATGCCATCCACCTCTACGCTAAAGATAATGGCTTGGAGATCATTGTTTGGGTCACTGTAGTCCCACACCAGTTTGGCAGTGCTTCCATTATTAACGTAGGTTGGATTACATGGCGTCATCGTAAACTGGAGATCTGCTTCTGGTCGCCGGGACATCCATTAAAAGAAAAAGGTAGGGGAACCAACGTTCAACATAGGGATACCCTACATAATTAATCATCTTATTCATATAGCTTCCTGGAAACCTCAAATTTTATTGAAAGTAGCTATTAGCGGGCGCGTACACTCGCTCCAGGCAGCCGTGACTCTTTTGAAAAATCTTTTATTTAGCATACACGATAGGTTCTTAAATTAATTGGCATGTTTATGAAATTTCTCGTGAAAGTAGACATTACAGCGTTTCTCTTAGATCGAGAAGTGCCCATCAATTCAGTCACTCGCTCGCTTCAGGCAGCCGATTCTCATTTGTGGAAAGTCTTTTATTTCATTCATACAATATGTCGGCATGCCATTGCTTAAAGCATGTCATTAAAATACGATAGGACATTCTCGCCCTGAAAAGTGTCACTGGCACTACATTGTGCGTCATTCTCTTCATTGCAAGCCGTTGTCTGCTACTTTTTATTTTTCTTGGAAGAATGACGAACCTCACTTAGTCGTACAACAATAAGCCACAAAGTAAATCTGGGTTATTTGAACCATGACGGAAAGAACGTCATAAACACCGACTGCATACTTCAAAGCACATCTTAAGTCGTGACTTCCGAGTTGTGTTTTAAAAATTCGTTGATAAGGCTAAATTATCAATTATTATGCCAACGACCGATATTTTTTTAACTTTATTCATCTTTAGATCTGTCTGTGAAAGTCTTAGCTGATGATCGTTCGCAGTAAGCTCGCCATCGCAAACCCGGCACCGGGACCTTTTAAAGGCGAAGAGAGAAAACATCGAAAACTTGATCATACTGAGGGAAAATACATATTTATGGAAAATAACATACATTCTTAGGAGGAAAGGCTTTACTTTTTTCGAGGTGGGTGGTTTGCAGTGGATAATCCGGCCGAATCGGCATGACCTAGAGGCGGCTTTCTAGAGAAAACGGTCATCGGTCACTCGCTGGCTTCGATTCAGGCAGCCGACTCTCATTTGTGGAAAGTCTTTTATTTCATTCATACAATATGTCGGCATGCCATTGCTTAAAACATGTCGCTAAAATACGATAGGACATTCTCGCCCTAAAATGTGTCACTGACGATACATTGTGCGTCATTCACCTCATTGCAAGCCGTTGTCTGCTGCTTTTTATTTTGTAGGAAGAAATACGAACCTCACTTTGTCCTACAACAATAAGCCACAAAGTAAATCGCTTTTAAAAGGTCCCGGTGCCGAGTTTGCCATGATGAGCTTACTGCGAAACGATCATTAGCTAAGACTTTGCCAGACAGATCTAAAGATGAATAAAGTCATAAACACCGACTACATACTTCAAAGCACATCTTAAGTCTTGAATTCGAATTGTGTTTTAAAAATTCGTTAATAAGGCTAAATTATCAATTATTATGCCAACGACCGATATTTTTTTTAACTTTATTCATCTATAGATCTGTCTGTCAAAGTCTTAGCTGATCATCGTTCGCAGTAAGCTCGCCATGGCAAACTCGGCACCGGGACCTTTTAAAGGCGAAGAGAGGAAACATCGAAAACTTAATCATACTGAGGGAAAATACATATTTATGGAAAATAACATACATTCTTAGGAGGAAAGGCTTTACTTTTTTCGAGGTAGGTGGTTTGCAGTGGATAACACGGCCAAATCGGCATGACCTAGAGGCGGCTTTCAGGCCATTTAACATGATCGACTTCAAACTTTTGATGCTCAAAGAATCATTTCAGTATAAATCAGTGCATTGGAAACCATGAAAATGCTTTCAGTTGGTGCTTTGATGATGGAAAACTAAACAACAAGACTTGACAATGGTTGCCTAAAATCCGAGATACATATGAAAATACATAAATGTGCAACTAACGAATTATGCTAGATCCTCTCAAAAATTGGGACAAAACAAAATTCTATCTGCAAGAACGTGAACATTTTGAGCCTTTTGGCATACTAAGCCACCTCCCCCCCCCCYCCCCCCAGTTTTAGAAAGTCCGATAGGAACAGTTTGCTTGAGTCACAAAAGTGTTTTACCTGTGTGGCTTGTGTTAATCGAGCGAAGTCGGTACCATTTCGATTCTACGGGCTCGTGAGCACACTCAGAATGAAAAAAAAAAAAAAACTGCAGTGGACCAATAAGTAAACGAAGTTGTTGTAAGAGCAATTAGACACAAGTGAACACTTGAATTGGGAAAACGGGGTGAGAAGGAACACAAGAAAAGCTAAAGAAATGTTATTTCGCTCTGACTTTGTTTGAATTGTAAGTGATACAATTGACTGTTGTTATCTCCTCACTCTGCCGCCTCCAACATAGCAATGTAAATTTCATCTATTGAGCGAGCATTTATGGCAAGACACGAAGGTATTCCTTCACAGTCATGTGTCGCCTAACGTTGTACTGTTAGTCTGTATATGTTTTGAGTTACTGACAGCATGAAATGGACATTCCTAGTAGCAATTTCCGCCTTTCACTATTTTGACACCGTTATGTCATGTTATAAGGATTGAGTTCTCTTTCTCATCTATCTTCTTCAAGAACGAGAAGAGAAACAAAAACAAAGCAAAAAAGAAAACTCGCATACCTGCCAGAGGAGTGACTAAGACAGCAATCAAAAAGTAATTAACGAATATCTGGACCTTGTACAGCAGTAAAAATTCCGGGCTGTTTTTCCTTACTACCTCAAAATCAGGTCCTAGCCATACCGATCAGAAAGTGATGACAACGAACGAGACGAATTTTAAAAATATATATCTCCTTTTAGAGCGTAATATACTACGTTGCTAAATCATGTTACACTCAGTCTGATGACCTCTTCCAGTCTGAGAAAGACTCAACGTGATCATTATGTAAAGCTGTAATGTAGGCATAATCCTAGAATGGCGCATTTCTTCGTATTATTTTTATAGCAACGCGTGATAGAGTTGATGTAGGGGATACTGTTGATGTAGGCGACACTATAAATAACATTATTCATAATCAGATATTGAAAATTAAATTATTCCACACAAGTAGGACTAACAGCCGTTTCGGGCTCAAAGAAGTTCTCTTCCTCCGGCTTATTAGGAAAGGGATACATTGACTGACTGTTTTCGTAAGAATATTGAAAATAATCTTATTTCGGCATCTGTTTGACCACTAATCAACCAACCCGCTTTGCTCGGTGTTTTCACTTTCTTTGGTGTGTACTTTCTAAGATGTGTGTCGATGAGAAATACATAAATCCCCTCCAAACCCTGAAACTCTCAGAACCCTCACGAGACCTTAAAGCCTTCTTAAATTGTCCATGATAAGTCAACTTTCTTAACTTCATCGTTGTCCCCCGGCATAATAGAACTCAACCTCCACGAATGCAAACGCGAAAATTTGCATGAACTTTTGACAAGAATCGAAGCGTGCGGGATAAAAGTGTCTTTCTTCAACTTATCCACTACCTACAACATCATGTCATTCAAAAGAGGCTGTTGACTTGGGTAAAGTAAAAAGTTGGTCGGAAGGATTCCCTGAAAATGCGACAAACTTTACATCTCCGAGACTGAAAGACTTACGAAGGAGATTATCAAGAACCATAACAGTGACTTTCGACCTGCTATGATGCAGACATCCGCCATTTTATAGTAAGCGCACAACACCAGACACTATACCCTGTCTGAAACTTGTTGCTATCTCATAAGACTGCATGAAACAGGGATAGGAAATACAAATCCCAAAAGCATGCCTGATAGCCAGAATAATTAACAAGGCATTCAAAATCATGAATATTCCCTATAGTTTCATTTCGCAACAAGAAAGTTACATGCTGCAATTTGCTGTTCCGCTGAATTTCTTAAAGCACTGCTTTGGTTTGAATTCCAAACAAAGTCTCTTGGGCGTTGGGCGTCTTAAAGTTTTTAAGAACATAGATGTATGGTGTATAAAAACGTCTGCGTAACTTTGTGCTGCAAGTGTAACTTGGAGTTCTCTGCTTACCAATATTCCCACATACGTTTCTTTCCCTGGCTATACTTTAAAGAAAAAGTTGTTATCCTTAATACACGATATCAAAATCAGTTCTCATGCAAATGCAATTTCATTTGCGTCGAGTATCTTATTGCTCAAGTACATTGGTGTCTACAAACGTCAGTAGGTGTATTTATTATCCCACTACACTTCGTAGAGTACAAATAACGCCATAGACGAGTACTAATATCACGCGGTATTTGTACTCTACAGTACCGGTTAAACAGGTTTCCTCGCATC